TTGGATACTGACTTTTTATGGAAAGGCAGATAATTTTCCTATGGACAATTACATACATTATGTACCTTTTAGTTCAATCTTTTCAGCCAATTTATTATAATTGAGAAATGCCTTATTTTGAGGGTCCTGTCTTGAACATAAAAACTTTCAGCGTTTGGAATCTGTGAACTAAAAAGAGGCTGCAACAATGGCAGAAAGGAAAGGAAGGGCATTTCAAAGCTGCAGGGGGGGTGGTGCTGAGGGTGGGGGGAAGCAGTACCCAAGACGGAATGATCCCTGAAAGGGGCCATCAGTGCTTCCTGGGTTTTAACTCAAACAGAAGCAAACATTCTTCGTGTAAACTCCTCCACTTTAACCTCTAGGTCCGACCTCCTTCCTACTCCTCACTCCCCACCCCCAGGCTTTCTGGCAAGTCGTCCCCAGAGCCACCACAGTTTAGGCACTGACTAGGAAAAGCAGACTTGCAGAACAGGATGGGATTAGCACAGCTCTTCCATAGGAGAGAAAATAATTTGCTATTTGATCCCATGATTCTTTTACTGCCTCCACCACTAGCTACTGACAACAGCCTAAACATTAATCTCTGGGTCTGGTATGCATTCCTGTCCCAAACGTCCAGCCAGAACTACAAACTCACTAATGAATTATCTTTTCAACAAACACATAACAATTTTAGAAAAGTTATTTAGCTAAGGAACCTGGAACCAATGAATGAGAAAATCTGCACAGATATCACCAAGAGCATAAACACTAAAACACCAGCAGAGAGCTACTTAGTCATCTCACCTGTCTCCTCCACCCCCAAATTCCCAAACATTGAACTCATACCCGAGTACTTGGCCTGTAAAGGTTTCTAGAGAAGCAAGTGGGGACAGGTAACACTTTAAAGCTCCTATCTGTCCAAAAACTTTCCAGACCACAGGTAAAATAGCTATCTGGTTTGTATTTGAATCGGCATTCTCAGAAAAATTGATTTGGCTCTGTCTGTATATGCTCTTTACTGCTATATGCTTTAGCTATGGGGGGAAAAAGGTACAGAAATAGAGGTACATATCCCCTTGCATCTCCTAGTATGGCTGTGTACACTGCTGGGATTCTAAGTTTTGCCCAGAATGAAAGCCCGGCCCCTCATTCCTAGGGGGGTTATTTGATGCCCTGGGAGCTCATCCCAGAAGATTTTTACTACGTACTGCTAAAACCCTTATTAATTCTTCCTGGAAATCTAAGAGCCAAAATTATGGAAATTTTAGCTAAGAGAAAAGGTGAGTTTTAACGAGCCCCAGTCTACTTTTATAGGTCTTAAAACAATGATGTAATTTCAAATTTGCCTTATCTCAGAAGGAAAAAGTTAGTGACTTTTTAACTGTTCTTAGAAAGGAAAATCTTTGGTGCAGAGGCTTGGGTGGGTCACCCCACAGGGGGAGGAGCCTGACTGCTCCAGACCTCTGGTTCTCTCAGGATCAGCTAACTGCTCTCACACACATCATGGAATGATAGACACAGCACATTCCTCCCGACGTCAACACCGCTGCACTAAAGCTCAGAAGACCCACACTGCCTTCCACGACACCAGAGTCCCTCCAACCGCAGTTAAGGTTCGCTGTGACCAGCCCATTGAACACTGTGTTTTATACACAAGGTACACTGCCAATGACCCCTGGTCCCTCTGAATACACAGTGTCATAGGTTGAGCTATGACACCAGAAAGACCTAGGTTTACACCCCGGTTTACCATTCAGTAACCTTAGCACTCGATTTCTGAGCCTTCTCATCATATGCAAAAATAAAGAGAATGTGTAAGGGATGTTCTCAGACAGATCCCAAACTAGCCCTTGCATGGAATGCAATCTTAAGAGACATGGTACCTTCGGTCCACACAACGCTGACGATCTTTTAATCGCTACATTTAGAAAATAGAGATTGGCGGCTTAACTAGGAAAAAAGTCACAGATCCATCGACTCGGGGCCCACATTCGCACCATGACAACCAACAACTGACCACTCTCTTAAGAGGCAGCACTGCTCTTTCCTTTCCCTCCCCTGACTCCCTTGATGTTACCTCAGACCCTGGAAGGGCTATGGGTTTGCGGCCCACTTTAAGATTCAAAATCAAAACAAATAGCTTGGTGACCCGTGAAAATACTAAGACTTAGCTACTATTGTTAGCTTGTTAGAAAGCCTGGTGTTGAGCGTGCAGTCTCACCACCTCTACCACCTTCCTGCAGGTTCTGCCTCACCAGACACTGGACTGGTGTGTGTACCGCACTGAAAGAGAACCACAGAACCGCCCCAGATCCAGAGCCTAGGGTCGGCTCCACCATCATGCCCCTCACACATCAGCTCTCCGACCACCTGCGGTGGCACAGGTGGGCACAGCAGCCCTTCCACACAGGGAGACGTTTACAAGACGATGCATGGGAGGGGGAAGGCAAGAGTTTTACACGGCAAAAATGGGTTCGCATACAGGGCCATGAACGTCCAAAACCGAGTTCTAGCAAGCGGGCAGTCGAGTTCAAGCGAAATCGGTGACAAAAACAAACTGGACAGCAACGCGCTCTGGGGCACTCAATGAGGACCGAGAACAGACCAGCGGGAGGCCCCGCACACCCGTCCCGAGGGGCCCCCGACAGCCCAGAGCTCCGCTGAGCTCCAGAAGCAGAGCTTCCTTCCACTGCTGTTCCACCGACCACAAAAACGAACCGACCAGGAACCCCCGCCAAGCCGAGACTTCCAAGGTTTACTTCTGCCTCTTAGCAGTCGTTTCTTTTCTTTTTAACCCAGCACGTGTCCCTAGGTTCAAGGAGGACCTGAGCCTAAGGGAGCAAATTGGCCTCGGGAACCACACTTGCAAGAGGCACATTGACAGCAGCTGTCACCGCAGGGTGGATGCGAGGCCTCGATCCACCTGGGCCTAGAGGACCCGCTCCGCCCACTTGCCCGGCTCAGCAAATGACGCACAGCAGCAGTTTACTCCGTGCCTCGGTAGCCAGGGAGACAAAGGAGGCAGGTGCCAGGGAAATATGGCACTGCCCAGGGAAATATGGCACTGCCCAGGGCCCAGGCTGCGGGCTGGGCGTGCGGTGGGGGCGGGGCGAGGCCCGGCTTCCTTCGCGAGCCACCGAAAGACGAGCTCGGCGCCAAGGTCCCCGGGCCTTCCCGGTGCCTGGGGCAGCGCCGGGCCCATGGGAACCAGGCAAGAACGCTGGGGCGGATTTGCCCGTGAGAACAGCCACGCGCGGCCCAGCCCGGGAACGGCGCCACGTAGGACAATCGAAGGTGCGTAAGCTTTTCCTGGGTCCGAACCCCAGGCCCCGGGGACCAGAGCAGGTGCAGGCCTCTCTCACGCCCTCACCAGTGTGCTGGCCGGGGGGACAGCAGTCTGCGCCTCCGCCACTTTCCCGCCGAACCTTCGGCCACAGCCGAGTCCGCACCGACCCGCACGCGAGCTGGGGCCCTGACCGGGGTCTGGGCTGAGGAGAGCAACGCAAAGCGGCGGCCACATGCACGCCTCTCCCCTGGCCAGGCGCCATGCTTGCGCCAACTCCTCAGCCTGCATGTCCCCCGGACCCCAGGTCCCCGTGACCCACCTCAGAGCCACGGGTCCCCAGCGCGAAGCGGAGTCGCACGTGCCGGGCCACCCACCGGCGCGTGACCCACCCGGCCAGGCCGGCCCCGCCCCAGAACTCCGGCTCTCCGCCAATCGAACGTGTGAAGCCACGTGACCTCTCTGACCAGGGAAACCCGCGCGGCACGAGGGGTCCGATCCCTCCGCCTTAAAGGGGCCGCGTCGCTGCCGTCGTGGCGCTCGTTGTGCCCACAGGCCCAGCGCGGTGGGCCCGGCCGCCAGCAGCCCCGCCCTGCCTGGGCCGCCAGCCCAGCCGCCCGCTGGGTACGAAGGAGACTGGGGTGGGGGTCGCGCTGCGAGGCGCGTGAGCTCAGGCGCGGTGGCTTTGGGGCTCACGTGCGACGGCTGAGGGAAATGGAAGCGTCCGGGGCGCGGGGACTTCCCTCCGTGCGCACAGCTCCCGTCTGGACAGACACTCGAGGCCACCAAGAGTCTGCAGCGCAGCTCAGAGTCCCCACCGGCCGCCCCCAGAGGGCCGCGGCGCCTTTAAACCCAAAGGCCCTGAGTCACGAGGAGGCGCCCTGCCCCCCCGCCACTCA